TCACGCTAGATTTATACTTGCCATCTTCTGCTGACTCATTGAATTTGTTGATTAACAGTTTATGAGTATTAATTAATTCTTTCTATTGTCAAGAATAAAACAGATCCTTCAGTTGCAAAAATCGTCGAACTACTGCGTACAATGGTTGATGAAATTTTTGACTTACAATTGTACCCCCTGACAATGTGTTAATCCGTTCCAGGGAATTAACAAACATCCCCAGTGTTTCGTCCAACGTTATTAAATTTTCGCGTGGAGACAACAATCTAATGAAATCGCCGAGAATTAGAGTCACCCTTTCATGCGCTTCTTGATAATATGAGGTAGTCTTGTTATCAAGCGTTCTGTATAACTCCTTGATGTAGTCGAAACTTTTAATTTGGTACTCCCTTATAAATTTTTTCGGTGTGAATTTGGTTATCGATCGAATGAGTGTATTGGTTAGTGTGTAGAATACGTTGACCATCGAAGGTATCGACAGATTATCTCCTTTAGCCCTTATTTCTCCCATACTATTCTTGACTTTTGGGAAATTTTTTATTAAAGCACATAAAATCTTGTAAGGGTCCTCAATGTTAGAATTGTTGGGCCTCATAGTCTTAAATTGCGAGATCAACTTTTCGACAACTCTAACTACTTCAGGCGGCCACGGTTGATTAAACGGTATCGCAAACGTTAATTGATGAAATAATTCCAACCATCGAACTGTGTATTTTTTGAACATTGGATTTTCGACAGACGGGACTGACTTTTCCTTAACCCATTGTAGGTTAATATTTAATCTTTTATCAAATAACGTTTCTTGTTCTATACTCGCGTTTATGGGCCGTGCCAAACGTGGTGACGTGATTGGCAATGAGCGTGTAAATGGTAGAATTGTCTGACGACTGCCACCACGCCTAAATTTATCGATGATACTTCTTATATGTCTCCCTTCGTTCTCTTCGACGATTGAAACATCCGAAAGGTAAATAATTTGTCAAAAAAAAAAAAAAAAAAAAAAATCACTTTCAAAGAAATTCCAAGTTAACCTTCTTTTGATTCGCGTTCCATCAGTCTAGAAATCATATTGTGACTATCCATACTTTTTACGTGTGTTAGTAAATTGCAATGTGAAATTTAGAGTGGAAAATTCTTAAATTCCTTCACTCTTTGGAAATTTACTTTGTTTTTACTCTGTCTAATGTCCGGCGTGTACCAATACACGGAAGTGAATATATATATAAGTGACGGTCGCTTTTCACGCTAGATTTATACTTGCCATCTTCTGCTGACTCATTGAATTTGTTGATTAACAGTTTATGAGTATTAATTAAT